CCTGTCATTTTGTTGTTGTTCCTGTTGTTGTTTTGGTGCAAGGTTTTTATTGCCCTATCTTCTAAGTTCTGTCAGGGCAGGTCTGTAATAACCTTTACTTCAAGGGCTGATTTAGCTTTTAGAAAAGTGGGAGACTGCTGGGATCATGACCTAAGGTCCCAAATTCTCAACAAAGACTTTCTGTTCTGACTGGTCCAAACTCAAATGTCTCTCAGTCCTTGGGGAACTGGGAAGTTTTTGACTTTAGATCCTGTACATGTGTGTCTTAATATTCAGCAACAAACTCAAGGGAACCTCCATATGGATTTCTTGAGCTCTATTTCTGCAAAACTCCTTCCTGTTGGGTACTTTTAAACCTCCCAGGTCTGTGTTCTATGTCTTTTTAACTTGATGACACCCCAATGTTCTTGGGTTTTCTCTTGCCACCCTGCAGTCTGAGCACAGGAGGATGTGATAACTAACTTTTAGTAGGACTTTCTCTAGGGATCATATCTTATGCTTCCTCTGTCTGATATCCACAAACAGGTTTTGTAGAGTTAATGAAGTGTTCTGATTGTAGCAGGAAGGCTGATCCAACCCCAGTTAATCCATCCCGGCCACCAACAGTTTCAGGATATTCTGAGTGTTTTCTCCTGGCCATGAGGGTCACCACTTATTAGTATTCAGAGAGAAACAATTTTGAGTGAAGGACAGAAGAGACTCCAAAGCATTGACTACACAGGATCAGTCCATGCTTCCATTGTACCCAGGTCCATGGTTGGACATCCCAGAAAGGAAGGGGTCTAACATTTGGGAGATAAGGGGTGATTTGTGGCTCCTGCTCTCTCTGGGCACTCATTCCCAAATCATCTTTCACACATCATGCATGAAGGTGAAGGATGTCACGTCCATCCAAACCAAGCCAAGTTCAAGAAAGCTATTTCCCAGCTGGAAAACTCTGTATCTCTTATTTCATGTGTGGGTGTGAATTTTCTTTCCCCTTTGAATATCTGTGGCACTTTGAGTATTTCTTTAATCTTTGTCTTCTGCTTCAGAGCCATCTGTTGAGGACACCCAAACTCTAGGCACCGTGTTAGGGGATTTGCGTTCATAATTCATTCAGTTTTCATCATGACTCTGTGAGGTCAGTACTACCATCTCTGTTTTACCCATGAGGAGAGCATAGCTTAGACAGAGTAAGACATTTGCCTGAGATCTCACAGCTAGTAAATGGCCAACCAGGATTTGAACCTATGCTCTTCCATGTTGTTCTCTGCATTTTTATGTGGACTGTATTTCCTTCTTTACTACATGCTTCCTTTGTCCTGTGGTTTTTTCATTACATGTCTTATCAGCTTTGGAATTGATTTAGGAACCCTGTGCTTATATCTAGTGTCTTCATAAGCACACAACAGAACATTTGCCCATAACACATAGGGAGAAAAGAGGGAAGAAATACTGTCTCCTTTTATTATTCATTTTGGAGGAGAAATTGCCCTTAACTCTTGGAATTAACTTATAATCAGCATAGTTCCTTATTAAGATTAACATTTTACTTACGTTATTTCTCAAAAATAATAGTTATTGGAGTCTCTACCTTTTAAAAAAATCAGATGGGAACAAGATAAAAATAGTTTTTTTTTTTTTTGTGAAGTGTACATACGTAGTAATTGCAGATCTGGGAATAATGTGTTCTTTGGTATTTGTTCTTTTTAGTCATACCTATAAAAATTGTCTTCTCTTCCAAGACTGATTTTTATGTGCTCTGTAGAAAATATTAACAGATGTTAGCAATGCTAAACAATTAGCAACTGTTAGATAAGTTTTATTAAAGTAAGATATATAGGCTAAAATGATGATGGAAATAGCACAGGACCCTCTGACTAGTAGCTTTAAGTTATCTTTTTATTTGGTAGTAGGTGATATCTTGATTAAGTCTGTCAATGTCAGAGGCTGTAAAGCAATTCTACAGGAACTAGCTGGAGGTATGTCAGCATCCCCAGAGGGAGAATCAGAGCTTCTGGGTGATCCTAAGAGTAGACAAAAACAAAAAACCTTGCCTATTGGATGGCAGTCTGCACCATCCATCCCCCTCCTACTTCTTCTGGGTCAGATGTGTGTGTTTCTGGAGGCATGAAAGCTGGATCTGATAAACCCTGTAGAGTTGAATTCATAATCTTTGTGTGGACTGGCATTTGTCAGGCCAGAGGCTGAATGTAAGGTGAGAAGCCTGCCTGCTGGGAGCTGTTAAAAATCTCCTTGTGTGCTTCTTCCAATCTTTAATTATTTAATTAAAAACTGCCTCCAGCACTGGGGCAGCTGAATCAGCAGAGAGGTAGGGGGAAGGATTTGGAGAAACTTTGAGTTCAGAAAAGCAGGAAGAGAATAGGTACTTGTTAAAGATGGTTAGTGCTGTGTTTGGGATTTTGTTGTTTTGGGGTGTTGGGATGGAGCCCAGGCCTTGAGATGCTAGGCAAATGCTCTCCTAGTGGGCCACACTCCCCAGCCCTAGCCATTCTGCTTTGATTTGACTGTCACTCTGTTCTTCAGAGATTCATTGTCATTGGCCAAAATCTAGAGAACATTCACATTCAAGAGGAGTAAAACTAATCTCTGTATTTAGGAACTAAACTGACATCTTTCAGAGTGAGCAACTTCAAATCTTTATTTTCCATTATGAAGCTTACAAGAAGATCTGTAGTAGGCTAGCTCTTGTCCTGTCTAAGAAGTGAGAGCCAGGTAGAGAGAAAAAGAAAAGAGGCATGGAAGTTTCTTGTTCTCAGGTAAAGCAAGAGAGCACCTTAGAAGCAGGAGGGAATTGTATTCACCTGATCTTTTCTTCGCTTGGTAATTTTGTAAGATAGACAAATATCCACTAGTCACTTACACATGGAAGTGAATGAACAGCCATGAAGGAATGGATCCTAGCCCCTACATCCTACTGGATTCAGACAATAAAGTGACAGTCCCACATGAAACACAGTGCTTTACATCTTTCAGGTTTTTCTGGCTTCCGGCAACCTTTATTAAACATTAGTAGTTGGATCATGAGAACCACAAAGGAACACATGTCTTTATCCTTCCTGGCTGGGTAATGCTTTTTAAAAAAATCAATGAGCTCCACTGTCACCAAGCTTGGATTAAAAGAACAATAGAGGAAAGAGAGTTTCCATGTTTCTCAGAAGCAGGCTGAAGGAACAGTTTTTAGGTATACTCTAAACAAAACTATAGTTTTTCAGAATTAATTTATAGTAAATATTGTACCCAACATTTACTTTGTGAGAAGTTCATGTGTTTGAACAGGGCAACCCAACAGAACATGCAGTCCTGTTTATCACAGCTGTTCTCAAGGACTCCAACTTGTCTTTTTTTCTTTTTTTTGTGGAACTGGTGTTTGAACTCAGAGCTTTGCACTTGCAAAGCAGACACTCTATGGCTTGAGCCATGCCTCCAGTCCATTTTGCTCTGGTGATTTTGGAGATGAAGTTTTTCAAACTGTTTGCCCAGTCAGGCCTCAAACTGAGAATCCTCCTGATCTCAGCCTCCCATATAGCTAGGATATAGGCTGGAGCCACCAGTGCCTGGCTTCAGCTAGTCTTAAAATTCAATTTCACTGCATTTCCCTTTGGATGTTTCTCTGTAACATTGTATTCATTCACGAATCCAATAAGTGAATGAATTAGACATTGATTCATCCCCTATCTAAAATGCTTAGGATCTGATCTCATGTTTTAGATTTCAGATTTTGGAATATTTACATAGATTTTACCACTTAAGCATCCCTAATCTGAAAATCTGAAATTAGAAATGCAAATTGGAGTGCTGCTCAAAAAGTTTCAAATTTTGGAGCATTTCAGATTTGAAATGTTTATATTTGTGTCAGCTTACTGTCTGAGAACATTAGGCTTGACTTTGTCAAAAATTATGCATTTATCTAGTTATTCACTTAAATATTTATTATATGTTAATATATGCCAAGTAAAGTTCTTGGCACTGGAAATAAATAACATAACAAATGAAGTTTCTACCTCACTTGCACCCTAGGTGCTCCTGGATAAGTCAGATAACCCACAAGCAAACAGATGCATGCATAATATATATTTTTTTCTTTTTTTTCATCATGCTAGGGATTGAACCCAGGGCCTTGAACACACAAGACAAGCATGGTACTACTGAGCTACATCCCTACCTGCTTAATATAATTTTGGAGAGGAAATATGTTAACTCTTTTCCCTAACTACTAGTGTCTGATAATTGTGTGATAGTCAGGAAATTGAATAACAAGATTTAACAATAGCCTGATCTAACTTTTTTCTTTTTTTTATGGTGCTGAGGATTCGAACCCAGAACCACCTGCATGCCAAGCACCCACTTTTCCTCTGATCTGACTTTCATATAATGTTTTTTATGTGGGGTCTTTATGCCATGTTAATAGTTCTCAGAATAGCTCTATAAAGTGGGTATTAGTAGACTTGTTTACTCAGATGAAAAAATTGAGGCCCAGACAGAGAGTGTGAATTTCTGAAGGCCTCAAATCTAAGCAGTGGCAGAGCCTTTTGGAATCAAACCCTTGCTATTCTGAACATAAATCGCATGTTTCTCTGCATTATTGGTTGACATATACTAGATCAATCACTCACGATTTATTTCTGTGTTTCACGGAAAAGTTTCTGAAGCACTTTTATTAAATCACCATAGATCCAGTTTTTGCTTTTGACTTTAAAGTGCTTCTCATAAAGCCCCCATCTGCTTAGTGGAGAGAAAGAAGGAAGGAGAAACCTGTTTTTAAAAATCATCCTCTAACTCTGCCTGGATTTGTACAGATCTCAGCTCCTCCAGGCTGATTGCACCAGCAGTCTTCCTTAGGAAATGGATGGAAGTTGGAGCTGAGACACAAACAGGAAGCCTCTGAAGGAGGCAGTGTTTGTCCAGCAGGCACCACCTCTTTAAATAGCTCTGTGCAGAGGGAATTCACTCTGCACTTAGCCCAGGAACTCCACTGCCCTTTGTTTCTGGCCTGCAGGGCTGGAGGCCTGTGCTGTTCTGCTGCAGGTTGGGGCAGTGCTTAGCAGGGGTGGGGGTAAAGGCTAGCTAGAGATGGCCTCCCTGCCTCCAGACCATGAGGACTCTTGGTGGCAGAGGGGTTTTGTGCTTCTCCCTGAAGAATCTCATCCCTGAGACTTGTAACCAGCTGAAAGGTAAGTGTTACCTAAGTCATAACTTGGCCAACAGACTTATTTCTGCTGACTCGTTCTTTCTTTTATTTATTAGACAAGGAAAGAGAGCAACAGAGTTGGAAGTTTTTTGTTTTTTTTTATAAATCCAGTTTTAGTTAGGTGCATAGGTGGTACGCCTAGTTTTATTTGCTTATGGATACGTCATGTTATGTGATAGTAAACTGTGATTTTTTTTTTATAACCTTTTTTTTAAACAGTATGGTTTTGAGTTTCTAAAGCTCAAATATAGCAGGAAAGTAATTGAGTCCTACTACTAATTCAAAAAGAGGAGTTAAAAATGGGATCTTAATAGGTGCCTAAAAATGAATGGCTAAGAGGGTTTGGATCACCATTCCTGATTTGTGCTGGCGGCTTTAAACTACTCAGTCCGATCTTTCCACATAATTAGTGAATTTTGGAAACCTCTACTGAAGTCACCTCTGTCACTCCAGCCAGCTCTTCCACCATAATGGATTTAATGCATTCCCTGGTCAGGCTACCAAGCCTTCCCCCTTTGTTCAGGGCTGGGACAAAGGCCACAGGCCAGCCAGTATCTGTTGTCCTCATCCTACAGACAGGTGAGTAGGAGGTCTGCTTTCTGTGCTGCCCTACAGAACAGTTCTGCCTGAGATTCCTGTGGCATGTACCTGTCCATTTCTTCTGATCTTTTCCTGGCTTCCACCTACCCTCCCCCTCATGCACCTTCTTGCAGATTAATTAGCACCTGTGTTAAGTCAGAGCTATTATTGAGGCTAAGGACCTAATTACTCTAATTGCAGAGGCTTTACTTCTAGAAACACCCACACTTGCTTGTCCCAGAAAGGCTTCCGTAAGATCTATTCCCCTGTTCTCCTGTTTGAGTTTTAGAGCACTGCCATCCATACGGCCCCCTTGTCAATGCTGTCTTAGCTCTGGATCGGGTCCTTTGTGTGGTTTGGAGGGAAGGACTGGCATTAGGAAAGGTGGTATGACTTGCTGTTAACCTGAATTTCATTTCCTTTAAATTAGGTTTGAATCCTCTGCTTCAAAGTGCTATGGATTTTTTTTTAAACTGAAGTAGTATTCTCTGTATTGACAAAACTACACTTATAGTTTCTTTATTGTTTTTAAGTTGTTTTACTTGTGTATTTTGTAATCAGAAAGTAAAGACTCATCCCATGGAACCTTCTTTTCAGTACATGAATGTATAGTGTATGCAGGTGAGGGTTTTTTTGTTGGTACTGGGGTTTGAACTCAGGGCCTCATGCTTGCCAGGCAGGTGCTCTTACAGCTTGAGCCACTCTACCAACCCAGGATAAGGGTATTTGTTTTCAATTCTACCTTACATTTCATTTTCTTCTTTTTCTTTTGGCAGTACTGGGGTTTGAACTCAGGGTCTCATGCTTGCTTAGCAGGTGCTCTACCACTTGAGCCACTCTGAAATACAAGCCAGCCCCCTACGTTGTATTTCAGATGCCTAAGAAAATCCAGCCAAGGTTCGTGATGCTTAGGGTAGGGCATTAGTTTGGTGTACTCATTCGGGAAAATAATAATTTACCATGTGCCTTGACGATTATTACTAAATCAGGAGACTTTCAATCCTTAAGTAATGATATATTTACTTTATATTCAGAAATCATTTTGAAGTTTCCTGTGTCGAGGTTTCTTTTTGACGGCCTCGTAGTTCTGTCTCTCTTACTTTCTGACTTACATGTGCCTGCCTTTTACAATTTTCTAAGCCCCATTACACTCTAAGCCAAGGGATTAATTGAATAGCAGGTGGACTAATCAAAAACAAGTTTAACAAGGTAAGAGTCCTGTTTAGATCTGAAAATATAAACAAAGGACTTTATGATCTTAAAGCCAAAGGGGAAGGTAGAAAACAGAACAACCCATAGCCACCTACGAGAGCAGAAGCCTTTACAGATAGGCTATTCTGAAGACAATGAGTGCAGTAATGCAAGGGCCTATTAGCCAAGTTTCTGCCTGAATTAAAAAAAAATACCTAGGAGATGAGCAAAAAGGATATCAGTGCCTCTTGATAATAAGAATGACAAAGTGAAGTCAAGGTTTACTGGAAGGCCTCTTACTCACTCCAGCTGACCTGCCTACAGGAATGTGTTTAAAACCTGTATAAAACCCTGGAGGTGGTGTTTGGAATTGGTGCTGCTCTGACGTAAACACAGGCCCAGCCTGGACATTTTCCAAAAGTAGAGGGTGAAAACAGTTCAAGCAAGATGGACAGTGTGCTTACACTATGGGCACGGACAGCCATTCACCACTGTCTGCGGATCTGGGCCTTCTGAAGCTGCTGGGTGATAAGGCCAGACCTGGATGGAAGATTGCACTGAGAACAATCACCCCAGCACTTATCTGAAAGAAGGAAGGAGAGGCTGAGAAAGGGGGAATTGTTTCTTAGTGATATGAAGCCTCTGGAGTATTTAAGGATTAAAAAAAAAAAAGGCCTTTGAGAGTAGTGTTTGGGCAATGATTAGATGGGCACTCATTGTTAGGTGACTTTGGTGACCAATAAATGATGGGTTTACAAAGCTCATTTACCAAACAATTTGGAAATAGGCAGAGTAAACAGACCAGATGAAGATTTACATAATCAATTCTCCACTTGCCTGATGTATTTTATGAAATGAACACACAATTTGAAATTTGTTTCTCTCCCTTATGAATATGCACAGGAGCTTGGGGCCAGGCAGGTAAGGGTTTTCCTGTTTGGCTACTGGCTGCACTAACAACTAGGTTAGACTGCAAGAATCCAGGCTTGTGTGTCACAAAAATCACCATTTGGGACACCAACTGTCCATTGTTTGGCTGAAAAAGATAGCTAGAAGGCATAATAGTTCAGTTATCTGTGCACCAGAGTATTTGTGTGAATCTTCCAAATTAAGTAGATGATAATGGGGCTGCCTTTGCCCAATGGCACAGCCCCTTCCAGATAGTGCTTCCATACCCTGGGGAAGAAGGCTGGGGGGATGGGGGGCAGTACTAGCCAGGTGGCAGTTTCCAAGATAGCCTGAGAGCTGAACATAGTGTGGCAGTGTAAAGAGAACCTTCAGTAACTTTAGGAATATTCCAGGCAAGGTGCTTTGTAGTAAATAGAATGGAAATGGAGTCCCACCCCAAGTTCGCACACAAAGAGGCTTTCATAATAATAATGACAGTGTATGACAAGTTGTCTTTGCCATCTGTGAATTATTCAGTAGCTATATATTTTCTCCTGGATTTTGTTAGGATCTATCCCTGGAAACTTCTTTGTTTTAAAAATGAAAAGACATTAATCTCTCTCTCTCTTTTTTTAAAATTTGTATACTATATGGCTATTTCTTACCCATAAGAACTTTCAATCCCTTCCAAACTGCTTTCTAGGACAGAAGGCTTGGTACAGCACCTGCCTAGCAAGTGCAAAACCCTGAGTTCAAATGTCAGTACCACAAAGAAAACAAACAAAAGTGCTTTCTAATCCACAGAACAGAAGAAACCAGAAGTCAATATTAGGCAAACCTATCTTGGACCTTTGTGAGGAATGGTGTAATTTGCAGTGTATCAGAGGTGCCTGAAGTATCAAGATGTCTTTGGCTGGAAATGTGTGACTTTTTGTGGTCATGGTAGGGGTGGCCATTAAAGATTGGCCAAAGTGAGAAGGCACCTTTAAGACAGAAAGCTTGGTAAAGGAGGTTATTTATTTATTTATTTTTAAAACAGGGTTTCATTATGTAGCCTAGGCTGGACTTGAACTCATGATCCTCTTGCCTCAGCCTCCTGAGTGCTGGGACTACAAGCCTGCACCACCATGCCTGGAAGTACAGGAGTTTTTTGAACTTGGCTCTTGAAAGTGCTGGCTATGGGAATGGGGAAGTGGGAGGAGGGGAGTGAAGAGGAGGAGAATCTGAGAATCCTGTGAACCTCCACCCATGTTTCCACCAGAGCTATTCTGCAGGTTCTCCCTTTTAAGTCCAAGGCTTCAGTACAAATTGCTATTTGGAAAAAGTTTTGCAATTCAGTAAAGGCTGAAAGCACTGAACAAATGCAGTGGCTGGCACCCTGTTGGCCATCCCTGAGGGCTGGGCTCCTGCTTCTGCTTGCTTACATTCATTAAGAATCATCTCCTGTGGGGGATGGCCATCAGTGTACTCTGCCTCTAGTTGTGTGTGGAGTGCCCTGGTCATTCAGTGCTCTTCAGTGTGCAGGTAGTTTACAAATATGACTTCATTAGTCTTCACAAAGCCCCATGCTTTGTGAAGCTGGTGATCCATGGCCTCCAGGTAAGGAACCAGTGAGGTCAAGGGTCTGGCCCAAGTTTATACATCTTCCTGTGAGGGAAAGAATGAGAACCAGTTTGTTTGACTATTGGAGCCTGGCTGCTTTTTCCCACACAGTACTGAATGAAGGACAAAATTAGTTAGCTGTCTGTTTTTCAGTCTAGAGGTAGAAAAACTATGAAGTTATGGTAGAAATAGCTGTAGGACTGATATCCAGCAGAGCTGTTTTTATCCATTAATGCGTTCTCTCTCTCTCTCTCCCTCTCTCTCTTGTGTGTGTGTGTGTGTGTGTGTGTGTGTGTGTGTGTGTGTGTGGCTGGGGATAGAACTCAGGGCCTCATTTATGCTAGACAAGCACCATATCACTGAGCTCCACACCAGCTCTTCAGTCTACTCTTCATTCGTTTTTGGATTACCCTCATGAAGGGCAATCTGGTTGTGCATTTGTCTTTCCTGTTGATGTATAAATCTTGTGTGTGTGTGTGTGTGTGTGCGTGCGCATTGTTGTGAGAGGAGGGAAAAGAGTTACATTTTCAGAAGGAATACATTACTACGAATTATTTAACGTTCTTTAGCGCTAAGTGGATTCACTAACGTTTTCAGTAATCTTAACAGTTCTGTTTGCTGAAGGCTTGCCTTTTTGCCTGTTACTTGACCACTTTGGATTTGTCAACTGATCCTTCTGTCAAAGTCCAGCTCAAATGCCACACCACCCCCTCTCCTTTAGAG